TTTTGTGTAACTTCCAAACCAAATTAGCAATGGTATATTATATACAAACGCACACCAAGATTGCAAGATACAAAAGTGTCGTAGGATTGAAAGATGCAACTTTTAAATTATTGGTCTTGGGATTGGTTTTTTTTTGTGTGTGTGTGGATTTTACTATTTAGTAAGGATGTCCAATTAAGTACAAATAAACTATAATTCTTTTTCCCGTCTATATTTTACAGATTTAGCTGTTTCAAAATGTACATTCTCTACATTATTCAAAAACACTATGTACATCATTCTTAAAATAAAGAGTAGGTCCACGATAACTCAAATTGTAGTATATTGAGAAGCACCACTTGACTTAAGTAACTAAGCACCTGCAAAGCCAAGATACCTTAAAACCATAAGGCAGGAAACGCAACAAAAGTATCTAGTTGTGAGATTCGAGACGGATTCGTTCGTTTACAGACAAGATTCATTTATATATAATGTATAGTGGTTTTAAACTGCAGTGGTGTAGATAGGAAAAAAAAAAAGTGAAACAGTTTTGTTATATAACATGTAGAGTTTTGGAAAATTAAACTTGTCTACAGTAGATAATATTTGTTTTAAAAATAATACAATACTATTTGCATAGCCTATTTTGTTCCGCCATAACCATTTAAACCAAAAATATAATTAACACATAGGAATCGAATGTGTGAGTGTATGTGTTTTCTCCTTGTAATTCGTAAGGGAAGATAGAACCTAAATAATGATTATACTAGAACACAATGTAATTATTATTAGATGTTGCTAAAAAAAGAAGTGATAATTAAAACATAGTAGTAAAGTTAAAAATGAATGAGTATGGAAAATAGAGGATCAGAGACGAGAGGTGAGAAGGTGGGGATGGGCCAGTAAACACTCTTTTAGCCAACCTATAAAGGCAAAAGTTGTTTTCAGTTTCAGACCAAATTGAATTTGTCTTTGATAGAGGCATAATTGTGTGCATTGGCCTTGCAAATGCCATTGCGAGAAGCTCTTTTTTACACCCACATCTTTTCTCTATAATTTTCCCTAATTTCTTGGCTCATCTTACTTGAGTGTATTTTCTCTACCATGCTTATAGAAACAGGACCACATTCATGTCCTTTTCCAACTTTTTTTAATAATTTAAAAATGAAAATGAATTAAATAGATAAATTTATGAAAAATGATAAAGGATAATGAGACTTTTTGGAATTTGAGTGAAGTCCAGCCACGCCAAGCTCCATTGCTGATCACTCATAGACTTAAAAACATGATCAACCGTTTCTTACCTTTCTTCATTCTTTACTCATGTTTTTTTTTTGTGAAAAGTTCATTGTACGAGCATCTTCATTAGTGAGTATCTCAAACAAAAGACAAAAGTATCTGATGAATAAAAAATATTATTATTATTATTATGATTTTAGTTTTTGATTTTTAAAACAATTAATTAACTTACACCAATCAAATTAAAACACTTGACAAAATGGATTAAATGGCTTTTAAAAATGATCAACCATCTCTCTTTCTCTCTCTTTTTTTCTGGTTTTTTATTATTTTAATTGTCTGGATGAGAAATCCCCATTATAGATGATCGAAGATTTCATCAAAAAAAAAAAAAAGATGATCTAAGATTTCTATGACACAATAAGTTGAATACATCAACTTTTGACCGAAAAAAAAAGGAAGAAACTAGCATCACCTTAATGGCTTACATAAACAATAATTATATAGATAGTTCTAGCTTGAAAGACTTCATTCAAAAAAAAAAAAAAAAAGGCTTCATTCATTGGAATGCCATTATAAAAACAATAAAATAAAAAAAAGTTTTAAGAAACTTTTACCTGTGAATCACGCGGCTTACGGCTTTTGCAGAGAAGAAGACATATTTATAAAATACTCGATATTCACAATAAATAAAATATAAAAATGATTTCTTTGAACAAAAAAAATAAAATAAAAAGTGATTTCTTGATATAAATGCCATACCAAATGCAAAAACAAAAAAAAAACAAAACCCAAAAGTCATCTCTCTATTGACTTAGAGAAAAGCCACAATGTCTCGCCTACATTGCCTAACAATGGCGACTGCACTAATTCTGCTTCAAGCTCTGAGTTTAGTAAGCTCAACTATCCTATCCCGGGCCGATCGGATCACCCGTTTACCCGGTCAACCCCGGGTCGGGTTTCAGCAGTACTCAGGTTATGTCACTATTGACGATAAGAAACAGAGAGCTCTGTTTTACTACTTGGCTGAAGCAGAAACCAAACCCATCTCTAAACCTCTCGTCCTCTGGCTTAATGGAGGTAAAGTATTAGGATCTTTCATCTTCTTGACTACACTTTGAAACCTAAAGATTACAAAGAAAACAAAATCTCTGAGAATCTTTTTGAGTAAAACGCAGGACCTGGATGTTCATCATTAGGTGTTGGTGCATTCTCTGAGAATGGACCTTTTAGACCAAAAGGATCAGTCTTGGTTAGGAATCTACACAGCTGGAATCAAGGTTAGTCCTCCTTGGATCATTTGAATTTTATATCTTTTTGTACTAAATTGATTTCGATTTTTTTTTAATTCAAAATTGTGCAGAGGCTAATATGTTGTACCTGGAGACACCTGTTGGAGTTGGATTTTCTTATGCAACTGAGAGCTCCTCTTATGAGGGTGTGAATGATAAGATCACTGGTAAATTTATTTAACTGAAATTTCTCTATTGCATTCCCAATTATAACTCAAAACCCTATAAATTTTCTCTCATAAATTAGTCTACTGATTTAGGCTTTGTAGAAGAAACCCAAATTTTGTGTCTTTTGTCCCTTTTTTTCTACTTTTAGTAAAAAGTTACCAAAATTACTTGATTTTTGTATTCACCAGGTAACAGTAGTAAACCTATTTTCAGACATAAACTTAAAACTTGTCTAGATAATTGTGATGTTTCTAGTTTTACATGTTCCAAGTTTTTTTTTTCATTGTTTTTGGTCGAGTAACAAATGAGTTTAATTTTGTCATGATGATATTGGAGTGCATGCGATCTGTTTCTTATTTGATCGCTTTTTAAAAGAAAATAAATACTAAAAATTTCAGCTTTTGTTTGTTGTTCTTTCTGACTCTGACAAAAAAATCGACCTTTTTGCTGAATTCAGATCACATCTGAGGGATTATTCTCTTCTTCTTTGTTTCTTTTTGTTTGTCTTCACATATCAAACATTCTAATCTTTGTCTTTTGTGTCCATTTTCGTATAAAAAATTTCAGCAAAAGACAATCTTGTGTTCTTGCAAAAATGGTTCCTCAAGTTCCCTCAATATCTCAATAGAAGTCTTTTCATCACTGGTGAAAGCTACGCTGGTAAAGATTGCTCTGTTTCTCTTTAAAGAAACCGTAGTTTCGTTGCGAAAACGTATTAACTAAATGCCAAATATTTAGGCCATTATGTTCCTCAGTTAGCTCAGCTTATGATTCAGTACAACAAGAAGCACAATTTGTTTAATCTCAAAGGCATTGCTGTGAGTTTCTTCTTCATATTCTCCACAACATTTTTCATTTGTAATCCGGTTATGTTCTGCTTTAATTCAACTCTTGGTTTTGTAGATTGGCAATCCGGTTATGGAGTTTGCGACGGATTTCAATTCACGAGGGGAGTATTTCTGGTCTCACGGGTTGATATCGGATCCAACATACAAAATGTTCACATCTTATTGTAATTACTCGCGATATGTGAGTGAGTACTATAGAGGATCAGTGTCAAGTATGTGCACTAAAGTGATGAGTCAAGTTAGCATCGAAACAAGTAGATTCGTAGACAAATATGACGTTACTCTTGACGTCTGCATTCCCTCTGTGCTATCTCAATCCAAAGTTGTTAACCCTCAACCTCAAGTAAGTTCAGAAACCAATAAGAGTTTTAAAAGCTTTTGTTTTAGTTTTTCCTTGTGCTGATTTCTTTGAATGATTTAGCAAGTGGGAGAGACTGTGGATGTTTGTGTAGAAGATGAGACGGTGAACTATCTTAACCGGAGAGATGTGCAAAGAGCTCTCCATGCTCGGCTTGTCGGAACTCGCAAATGGGCTGTTTGCAGCAAGTAATAGCATTCCTTTCGAAAATATTTTAACTGAAATTGCCTATTCGGGTTTTCAGTTCGGTTTTAAGATATGTACAACGGACTAGTTACTAAATTTATTTTGTGATGACAACAGTGTGCTAGATTACGAAGTACTTGATGTGGAAGTACCAACGATTAATATTGTAGGAAGTCTGGTTAAAGCTGGAGTTCCGGTTCTTGTGTACAGGTAAATCAAGGTTTCTAATGAAGTTGTCAAGTTCTGTTACACTTGTCCTGATGTGTCTTTTGCAATGATAACAGCGGAGATCAAGATTCTGTGATTCCGTTGACTGGAAGTAGAACATTAGTGAAGCGACTGGCTGAGGAGTTGGGACTGAGAACAACCGTGCCTTATCGAGTTTGGTTCGCAGGACAACAGGTGAGCATCATGACTCTAAAATCTAAGCCTGCTCCATTCGTGGAGATTTAGGTTTTCTCGATGTTTTTGAATCTACTTTTGATTGGTTTCGAATATTTAGGAGACGTAGTAAATTAAGGTTTGGTGTTACAGGTTGGTGGGTGGACTCAGGTTTATGGGAACACATTGGCGTTTGCAACTGTGAGAGGAGCAGCCCACGAAGTACCATTCTCGCAGCCCGCGAGAGCGCTCGTGTTGTTTAAAGCATTCTTGGGTGGTCGTCCTCTCCCTGGAGAATTCTGATGATTTCACCATTTTCTAAGCTTGTAAGTAAACATTGGTGAAAGATATATGTCAAAAAGAAAAGGACACATTGGTGAACAATGTCCCAAAATGGCTATATCTGATTCAGGGCGAGAAAATAAAATACTTGGAAATTTGTTTTTGTAGAGACATGCATGTATCGTTCTTGAGTTTTCAAGATTTCAAAAGAAAGACGTACGTAAAAAAAAAAAAAAGGATCTAATTTTGTTTGTTTTTATTATTAGAATTATTAGAACACAAGAATCTAATTTGCCCAACACAACACATAAAGCAGATCAAACGTAAAATCATAGAGAGTAACAGTCTCATGACATAGTAGAATTAATAACGAGTTCGAAAGCAGCACTGTTCCACGAACCAGCAACAACATAGCGTCGTCAAACTGCATCATTCCCAAACAATTAACAGAGATTAAATTAGTTTAAAACAAATCTACTTCTAAATTCTTAATGGGTTTATCAAAATTGACTTAATTCACAATTTCACATAAGATGACATTATTAATAGTTTTTTTGTAAATTAAGAAACCAAAACCTCTTTGGCACATTCTTTACCAGGTATAAAACTTAAAATTAACAATTGGAAATTACCAGCTTCTGAGAAAAGGAAAGCAACCAACATATTCTCCTTCTCTATAGTATTCATCTGATCTATATGGACGCAGCGGTGGGGGATGAGGCTGACCGTAGCCACCGTAGTAGTCTTGATATCTTGTTCTCGTTGGTGGATACGGTGGCGGTGGAGCCTCTATCATCGGTTGGTACAATGGCGACGGACCTACAAAATTCATACAAATATATATATATATATAGACACATGCATGGGATTAATTTATAGTTTTTTTTTCATTTTGTTTTGTAAAATGTTAAATCAGTTCATCTAGTTGTTACATATATAGAAATAAATTTACCCAGAAGAAAAAGTTGTTTATTAAAAAGTTTTGAGAATTGCCTGGTGGTTGATAAGACTCATGAGAAGCATGGTAAGATGCCATTGTGAACCCTTTAGATTTGCAAACTCGTTTTGGCAATGGAATGTTCAAAGAAGTTTGATTTTTAAAAAGTGATCTTTAAAGGGTTATTTCACAAGATATCATATCATACAAGAAGACATCTCTCATTTTATTTTATGAAAACGATATGAAGTTGTGGTCTTAATTAAAACGAAGAGGTTAGTTTTTTCGACGGGAAGGCACTTGGCAAAAGTTTGTCGACGTGTTGGCTTCCAAACACCGTGACGAGCTAATTTGCAGTTTTTCCGGTTTAATGCAATTTGGGCCGGTGCCTTCCGGTTTGGCTTGATTTGTAAATTTCCAAGTCCTCTTGCTTTCTCGTATTCGTTTTGGTCATCTAGAATAATATAAAACGAATAATATAACACGGTAAGTGTTTCCGTTTAGTTTGGTCCCATCATAGTTTCTTGTTGTAGTAACTCTGTTCTCTCTTTATCGACAAAACTAAAATGTTTTGGTTTGATAGGTCTAACTCAGATTTTGCTCAATTTGGTTTAAGTACTTGATTTGATGGAATCTAAATCAAACTCATAAATCCTGATTTGATTTCGGTTTCAATATTTTGAGATGTACTTGGTTTATGCGAAACTAGTATTATGGCCCGCATCTAATTTCATATTTTTAGATCATTAGTTTTTATATTGTTAACCATTCATAAACTAGTACATGACCCGCAAAAATTGTTACCCATACTAATGATGGAAGACAAAAAATTTCTCTAAAAAAGTCACCTTTCTTAACAGCCATTTTTAAGTATGCAATTTAAAGTGCTCTATTAAGGCTACGCAATAGTACCCATGGGAGGACATTTGTTGTTTTTCCACTTTCCAACTATTCTTCCCAATTATGACACAAACTGTTTCAAAGCAGTAAAGTCATGTATCCCTATTTGTTATTTAAACATCAATAGAATTACAAAATAACTTACTATCCTTTGTGAACCGCAGGTATAGGCTGAGTGGAATCACACATATTGCAACTTGCCTTGAACCAAAAATTGAAATGGCACAATTGGGACATGTCACAAGTCTAATCATTTTCCCTACGAACCCCTATTTTTAACCAGGAACCCAGATTTAATGTATGATAAACATGCACTATTTTGAGACTCAGATTTGTAAGATAATGTAATTGACAAAAAGAATAACATATATTTTTGTACATCATTACGAGTATGAATATTATAGATTTAATGATCCAAAGACCCGGCACATTCAGTTTCACATTACAATTTAGTTCCTCAAAGAATGATGTTTTAAGCTTTCACACAACTTTTTTTTTTAAAAATAATTCTTACATTTTCTAATAGTTTTTTTTTTTTTGATAACCGAGTGTCCTGACTCCACCGAGGTGGTCCAGATTAGAGACCGAACTCTTACGGTACGGACGCACGCCCGAGGGTGGGTCATGGCCAGGTAACGGTCTTTGGTCTCGGGCGCCAGAGCAAGTCCGCATGTAAATTCCCTGGTGGCCACTAGTATGTAGCAAGGGGGAATCGAACCCGGGCGTATTGGGATTACCCCCTCGACCACGAAATCCGTCCTACCACTAGCCCACCTTGTAGTGGTTAAAAAACTGTTAGAGTAAACTTTTTATAGTGACAGACCCCACCGCAAAGCGGCCTCATATCCAGAAAAAACTCCACCTCCAGCCTTGACCTACGGGTTAGTATACACCGCTTGCCCCTACTCGTATGGAGGAATTTTTATTTGGAGAGGTTCAGTACCACCGTGGTGACAGAGAGACTCGAACTCGAGACCTCTGGCATTCATCTGTGAGAAGGAAATACCACTAGGATACCATCACTTCTCATGAAAAAAAACTGTTAGGGTAAACTTTTTATAGTGACTGACCCCACCCCGAAAGGCCCCATATCCAGGAAAATCCTATATGCGTCATAGAAACCCGTGGACCATCTACAACAGGATTTTATTTGGAGAGGTTTCAGTTCCACCCCGCCGACAGAGAGTCGAACTCGTGACCTCTGGCAATCGTGTGTGAAAAGTCACATTGAAACCACTAGGCCATCAAGGACTTCTCAAACATTTTCTAATAGTTTAATAATATTAACTCTATTTTTCTCTTGGTTATTGGTGAAAAATAAAAAATCATCATGATGTTAATACAAAACATCAATCTTTACTAAACAAACATAAAAATTCAAAAAATCATTTCTTAGACACATAAGAAGTATATGTTTTTTTGAACAATTTCCAACATATGGATAGTAAACATACCTTTATATTTTTGAACAATTTGTATAAAAACAAATTATATCAAAATATAAACCCCCATACTAAAAAAATTAAAAACTATTATCTTTGCTCATTGCATCTCTCTATTCCTTAGTTTTTTTTTTTTTGTCATCCGTAAATTTCATTAACCTTAGAAAAATCAGTTAAGTTATATTCCTTTAAAAAAGATCAAGGAAAATCACCATCAGAGACAAAAGGATATTACAATCAAGTAATATAACTCTCATTAATGAACACTTCTTTTAACCAAAAAGGATAGTCTTGAGGTATGTATGATTGACTATCATCCTCCACAGTCACACTTCGAGCAATAAGAAAAGCACCAAGATTTACCTTCTTTTGTTCATGCTCAAGTCTCCAATCCAAAATACCATTAAAAACCAAGGAGATTTGCTTAACCTAATTTTTGAAAGATGGCCAGGCTTTGGGACGATTCACCGCACACACAAGATCTTTACCATCAACCTTAGTAAGCTGTTTCTTTTGATTTTATAGTTTTTCCACTGTGATTTAGTTTTTCCGTTTATGGAGTTTTGCTTTTTTTTTTTTTTTTTGGACTTTGCTTCTCTTTTTCGGGTTTGAATCTGAAGACCTTCACTTTTTCTGCCGGCTCTTGTATTATAAATATATATTTTTTGTTTTTATTATTAATTAAAACAGATGACCAAAAAAAATAAAAATTATATTAGTCGATAGCTTGGAATATTTGATCATCTCTTTCCATTGTTTGATTTTTTTATCTCCTTTTAATTTTTACCCCTAGATTAAAAAATAAGAATAACAAGGTTTACAATAAAATTTAGTTTGAAATCCCTTTATCAAAAAAGACAATTTAGTTACAATTTTAAATTTTAAATAGGATTCTGATGCAACAAAAAGGAAAACCATGAAATGTGGAGTCACATGTAGCAATCATTATGATTAGTACTCGTCTTTATTATTTAAGAGGCGCGCGATTCCTCAGGGCTCATTTCATTGACCAACTTTAATACAACAACTCTTCCTCACATCCCATTCACATTATATTCTCTTTCAACTTGTAAAGCAAGAAAATTTCAGACTCATTTTAACATTTTACCTGTCTGAAACATTGCCATTGAAACTCGTGTTAATGCCACTCACAAGAGAAACCACTAAGTTACAACAATATGAGATTAAAGAAAGAAAAGTGGAAACCTAAACAAATTATCATCTGAATAAAGGGAAAATCCAAACAAAGACAAGGGTTTCAAGAAGATGCAGAATGAGGTCGATCAAAGTGAAGAAGCTGTGCTGCACATTTGGGACAGTCCTCGACAAGCTTAGGAACCATGAAGTACATGAAACAAGCTTTGCATCCAGCAACCACTAGCACATCTTCTTCTTCTTCCTCTTCCTCTTCCTCTTTATGATTCTCTCTTGATGATGGGGATGACTCTGCTGAAGACTCTTCGCTGTCGTAATATGAGCTATCTTCTTCTGAACACACGGTTCCATATGAGTCTCCACTGTCAGGATCTGCATTCATCACTTTCCTTGGATCCTCTTTCACTCTCATTCCATTTTTCCAGTTTATGTAGTAAATCTCTCCTGTCTAAAAACAAAAAAAAAAAAAAAACTCACCTCATGATTTCAATCATAAAGTGCTCTTTTTGATATTACTATAAAGTTTTATCCTTTTTCTAAGTTACTTTCTTGGCAAATTGCAATGCACCAAAGATGTGTTAAGACAAAAGCTTTGGTCCTAGATCTATTTATGAGCAAATGACTATGTACTTTTTGTATGTGTGTTTGTGGTAGTGGCCATTAATTTCTTAGACAAATCATTGCGCATGAAAAACAAATAGATTTGTTTGTTTGTTTAATTTCCTTATGAGAATAATCATATCTAGGAGATCAAAGATTGGCTGATAAAAAGCATCAAATAGCTATGAAAATTTTCTTTTGTTTTTATCTAAAAGCAAAAATCCCAGAACTTAGTTTCATGGTCAAGCTTTTTAACTTTTTTTTTACCATTTAAATCTCTGCAAAAGTTTTCCATATAAGGCAAACATCTTTCCCTAAACACAGCCTGAAACTAAAAAGCCCTATGAGTAAACATTTATACGGTCTGAAGCAATAAATGCATCAGAAAGAAACAAGAAAAACATTAAATTAAAATGAAAATTTTATCCCCCAATGTACATTTAATGCAATCCAAAACACGAAAACGACACGAGTTCGAAGTTTCTGTAGTGATTAGTTTAACCTAGAAACTAGAAAGCAAAAAATAAAAAATAGAAAGATGAATCTCATTTGTTTACCTTAAGATCAAGACACTGTTCCCAGTGACAAGGAAGAGATAAGTGAGAATTGAGCTCCAATGTTCTATCTGAGATCGGAGTATGTTCGTTGCTCGACGATCTCCCAAACCCATCTCCGACGACCCTTCTTCTCCGATCATTCAGAGAACAATTCTGCATCGATTTCTCCAGAGACTCTGTTATCGTCTCCATGTTGGGTGCTTTCATCTTTCTTTTTTTCTTCCCTCGAAGACGCAGAGAAGAAGAAGAAAGAGGAAACAAAAGAGAGATAATTTTGATGAGAAAAAACTAATGGAACGAAGAAAACAAAAAACAGAGTGGGGAGGGGTAATTTCGGGAATTTCACATTGGTTGGTTTGAAAGTTCACGCGCCTGTAGAAGAAGCGCGTGGGGATATTTGGGTAAAAGAGAAAGTGGACCCGTAACTGTCAGAGAGACCAAAGTGACCACAGAGGCTCTCTCGCACTTTTGTCTCACGTCCGTGTTACCGTGTTCTTGCAAAACGTATGACCATTAGGTGCACACGCGATGGTTAGGCGCGTGGTGTTATCGGTTTAAAATAAGAAGAGAATAAAAGTTCAAATCTTGGGAAGGGTTAAAGTGGGTAAACCTGAGATTTTTGTTTTAGAAAGAAGGAATAACTCTGTAAAATTAAATACTCCCTCTGTTTTTTAAAAGTTGTCGTTTTAACTGTATTTGGACAAATTAAGAAAAGGTATACAATGACTATATTAACCTCATAAAAATGACAAATAATTATTTACAAATAATTTGTGTTCAATAAAATGAGGGTAATTTGGGTAGTTATTGGCATAAATTACATTATTACCTTAAAACGACAACTAATTTAAAACAAGAAAAAAGCTCTAAAACGACAACTATTCGAAAACGGAGGGAGTAATAATTAACGTAGATATCGAAAAGAATGCCGGAACTTCCTTTATTCTGTTATTTCGATTTTGTTTAGCATTGAAATCTTACATAATTATTAAAACACAGCTCATTTACGTTATACTAATCGCATTCCCAAGATAGCGATGTATTAGTACAATGAGTTGATTTTTCATATTTTTTTGTTATCAGTAATTATTTTCAAAGTAAAATCTCTAATGTATTATCAAAAGTTTGGTACAATTTCGGTTTTGAATCAGATTCAAGTTTTTATCAAAAACATTCTCAATGTTTAAACAAACGTTTGTTGTTGTTTAATTTTTACATTAATTTCTGTTGTTGTTTAGTTTTTACATTAGTTTTTTTTTTTTTTTACATTAATTTAGTTATTCTCAATGTTTAATCAAACGTTTGTTGTTGTTTAATTTTTTAAAACAAAGTTCAGTTTTCTGCACATATAAAAAATTTCTAATAACATTTTATCCTTTGGAATCAGTTTTATGATTACATCTCAGTCTTTCCTTTCGCAAATAGCAATTGAATATTTGATTCATGAGCAACTTAATCCAAACCCAAATAGTTCATGATCATGATATCTCCATCGGTTTTATTGCGAATAAATGGTTACCATCAACATTTCAAGCAATTCACTGGGATAAAAAGTTTGAACCAATAAATTTTCTTCCCAATGATAACTAGTAGCGCTCCAATCCCTTAGGTTTTTCACGCCTTAAACACATTCAATCTTTAATCAGGCAAGACTAAGAATACTCGGTATATAAGATCATTTTCGTCTACAAACATTAATTGAGATCCACAAATCACTCAATCAAAATCAGATCACATACCTTCATACTTATATTTTTATACATCGAATACACATTAATATTATCATTTTCATTTCATGCACGTACGGTCACGGTTACACCCAATATACAAATTTTGAAATAGTCTAATGCATAACACATCAATCTTCTTGCAAAGACGGTCACTGGCACATATTCATATAATCCATTTATATTTTAAACATTCTTTTTGGAGTGAAATGCAACAAAGTATAACCTTAAGTCCTTAACCCAATGAATGTTATAAAAATATGTGAGTTCAAATCTAAAAATCGATGGCTAGCTTGAGGTTTGGTGCATTCATCAAAAGTCAATAGCAAACAGGATGATTATTCCCAGGATAGAATGACTATACGACAACAAGTACTAACCTCGAAAATGAAATGAATCTGGCCGTGAGATGACATTATTTTAAATAGCCAAAGCCTAATAATGTAATATAATGGGTGGAGCAAAATCATTGAAGAATCAAACATTTTTATTTTAGAGAAAGTCAACCAAATTATAAAGAAAGTAAAGGCAAAATGTCAACATTTTAGCACATTAGAGTACAGTATTTATACGTGCGCAATTATGAAATTTGTGAAAACTTTCATAAATGTCTCACTTCACGTCAAGAACATCACGTCAAAAATAAATAAATATAAGTCAAGACCATGATCACCATGTTCCTACTTTCATCCTTAGTTTATGAAACAACAATACACAAAAGGAGTGAAAAAGATGAGAAAAGAAAGCCAATAAATATAGTGTTCTCACCCAAACTATTGAAGACCATGTGATATTTAAGATATTTTGGTACAAACATGAATCATGCTATATCTGAACGTATTAGTGTGGTTAATTAAAATATTAGGTAGATGTATGTATAACTTCAACTTGCATAACGTTTATTATTGAACTGGTAAAAAACCCTTACCATACGTAGGACTGGACATAAATACTCGTTATCCGCCTTGTATCTGCTACTCGACTCGTATTCGTATTGAAAATTCAAGTATCCGTTATAGCCTAGTCGAGTAACAAGCCGACCAATTCTATTACTTACAAGTAAAGGTCAAGTATCAAGTATCATAAAAAAATTTTGATACTTGCCCTGTTACTCGCCTCGTTTTCATACTTTTCCCGTTACTTGCCCCGTTGCCTCGTTACTCGCTCCATTTTATATTACAAGACATATAAACTATAAAGCTAAGCGACCATTAAACTCAACTACTAAAACTATAAAGCCCATCGTTATAAACTAAAACTATAAAGACCAATATAAAGCCCATTAAACCCAATTACTTTGAAATCCAATAACAAAAAACCAACAAAAGAACAATAGAGAGAAGACTTTCGATTTCAGAAATTTTTTAGGGTTTGGATGTTTGAATGTGTTGTGACATTATGATGTTTTGAACTTTAATGTTTTGTGATTTTATGATGTTTAGAATTTTGAATGTTTTGTAATATGTTTGAGATTGTTTTTATATTTAAATCTTTTAGTCCAAGACTTCAAGTAACAAGTACCTTGTAAATAACAAGCCAAGTCAAGTTACCTTGCAAGTAATAAGCCGGGTCAAGTTACTTGCAAGTAACAAGATTTGGACGGGTACTTGTTATAACAAGTACTTGCTCAAACTAGTCGAATATCAAACCGAAATTTCATTTACTTGTACAGGCCAAGACGAGTCACAAATACTTGAAAAATAGCAAATACTTGTCTTGTGCCCATGCCTAACCATACATACACACAACAAACATGCAAAGAGAGATAACTACCTAACTTGATGAAAAAAAAAAAAAGATAACTACCTAAATAATTACATTTTTTTTGCACAAAATACAAAAAAGAAAGGAAGATAGCTAGAGAAAAGGAATTGTGGTAGATCAATATATATAGGGGAAAAACATTTTTACATTATACCCATATCAGTGTTCTAAAAAGCGGTCTAGGCGGTCGTCTAGGCCCCGACTAGGCGCTAGGCTCTCATGCGACGCCTAGATAACCGCCTTGACCGCCTAAAATTACATAGATCTTGTTTAATGTATTTTTTCAATTTCAATTAGAGTTTTATTTATATATATAGTTATAAATATTCATATATTGTTTAATATAAATATAAATAAATATTTTATCTAATTTTTATTTATAATTTCATAATTTTTAGTTTTATATAGATATTTTATATAACTTATATATATAATATCATATTGATAATGTTTTATGTTATAAAAGTCTAAACCGCCTAAAAAATCGTCTAGGCCCCGATTAGGCGTTCTAGGCGCTAGGCACTGGGTCACCGTCCGCTTAGCGCCTAGCGTTTTCTTGAACACTGACCCATATATAGGGAATAAAAGTATTGTCTGGAGGAAAATGACGTTTCCGTAAGCAAAATAATGATAAAACAAAAATAGTGAAAATAGTGAAAGAGAGAAGTACAAAAGGGAATCTGTTGGAAGTGTAGAAAGAGAAAGCGACGACCACTCCAATCCAGTGTAATTCTTTCTTCTTTTTTTCAAGAAAAAGATTTTGCTTTTTTACCAAAATATAATTTTATTTTATACTTTTATCATAAAAGAAAATAATAATTATGTTATATATTTTGGTGGTAAAAGGTTTTTTTTTTTGGACAAAGAAGGTAAAGGTTTTTAAGAGTCGTAATATACAGAAAGAGAGACAATGGGGCCTAAGAAGGGAATCTCTGAGGAGAGACAGAGATGTTTCAGATCGAAAGAGACGCCAAATTGTGTCTGTCACTCTGTTCTTGTGTGTGGGTCTCCTCCCCTTCCTTCCTTATCGAATCCATATTCCATTTTGCTTTTTTCTTGGAAGATTTTAAGAAATCGAATTGAAAATATAATCTTGTTTTGTTTAGTATAGTTCAATTTCCTTTTTAATGACTTTTAAGTTTATTTTTAAAGGTTGAATTCATATATTTGTCTTAGAGATCCAAGTATTTAGATTCAAGTGATATATGCACACTTTTGAAACCGAATTTACAAGGTGATTTTCTCTAGGTTATCTACATAGTAAGAAATCAAAATTTGTAAAATGTGTAAGAATATAGAATATTCCATTCCAAGTGAGTGTGAACCACATAATAGATAAATAACATGTCTAAAAAACTTAGGGCATCCAAAAATAACAAAGGTTGGATGTTTTGCTTTCTCGCACCACATAATGGGCAATGATTGTAACACTTGATTCATCTCCCATTAAAATGTTAAGTAACAACAATACAACCAATAATGATTTGTCACATAAGTTGGTGAATTTTAAAAGGAGCATTAAAATGTTCCATGCAATCTAGTATGGGCTTAGACGATTGGGCTTAGCAGGGAACATTGGCTAAAAATCCTTGTGCATATGTATCTGGATTTTTACCCCACATAACCCGCTGCTTTCTCCTTCTCACCCTTACAAAAGATAGAATGCAAACTTTGCTATTAATCAGCTGCTTTTGGATTACTTATATTTCTAATCTTACACCTTAAAACAGTCTTAATAAGATTCAAATATAATCTTCAATTAATAGAAAAGAAAGTCAAAGATCCAATCTA